AGATGAGACTCATCTCAAGCGAGATAGATCTGGACAGTGTCAGACTCAACCTCATCAGAGGTGTCTGTGACACATGCCGAGTGCAGAGCTTGGGACACGTCTGGACACACTGTTATGCCCTCTACTGCATTACCTGGCAAATTCATTAAGGAAGTGGACTGTGATCTGATGTTCTACAAACAAGAATTCGATATATTCCACATTATCGATCGCTGTATGCGATATGCTACTGGGATTGAAATACCAGACAAGATTATGACCAGTATCCTGGATGCATATCATCAGTGCGCTAGATGCAGTTTGGACCGGCCAAGGTACTCTACTCTGATGGAGAGGGTGCCCTTAACAACGACACTGCAAAAAGGCACTGAACTTAGAATGCGTGCGCGTGGACAGCGCGCTACAACGGTCGAGGCCAGACATGGCATCTTACGCCATTTACTTCACGTCATGGCGGCTGAGCTCAATAGAGTAGACGCACCTCTTGTGTTCACCCGGCTACTGCGCGAAGCCTTGTTCGCCGCCAACGCATTCACCTTCTATCACGAGGTGGCTCCATGCAACGCTCTATTTGGACGACAACCAGCAATTCTCCCTGAACTCCCTGTTCTGGACCACGAGCAGCCGACGGAAACATCGGATCATTCTCGTGGACAGACGATGCGCAGGGTATGTATCGAAGCTATCGCACAGGCCGCAGCAGTAGCCATTAGCTAAGACCAATCGTGCCTTACGCACTAAGACGACAATTACTGGTCAGCACTATTATGACGAAGGAGACTTGGTCGACTACCATCGCCCCACGACCGCGAATGATGACTGGGGAGGCTGGAATGGCCCGTTCCCAGTCGCAAAGAATGATCCCGGAAGGGGTCAGGTCATCATCCGATTGGGCAATCGAGATGTTCAAGTACAATACGGCGATGCAAGGGATACATCATACATTGAAGCTCTCATATCCCGAGAAATAGGCTCCAACAACACGGCACTACGCACAGTGTTGACATTCGTGGCCAGTTTATCAGCGGGAGGACCTGCTTTGACCTCTGGCGATGTGCCGACCAAGAAAGGGGCGCTTAAGGTGACGACCGAAAGCCGTCTATCTCCTAAGGTACATTTGGCCCTAACAATATTTTAGCAGAAACTTCTTTCGAATTGAGAATGTAGTTTCGGTCAAATTTGCCAAGAGTATCCATCAGCTACCTCCGGTTACTTATGCCGACAGCTGCGCATTGGTTCATTACGACAACGACGTGAATCCAGGAGTACATTACGACGAAGCAGAAGGAACTGTTCTGAATTTACATGATATACCTGGACCAGCACATTCACGAATCATCAAATGCCTGAAGTCCACTAAACCTCAAGCAGGTTTTGATCAGGACATGTCAGAATTTGAGGGATTGGCTGATACGCCGGCACCGGATGGAACCGCAAGAGAAGCTTCAGAAGCCGAACTAGCACATGGTGACGGACGGCTCTCTACGATTTACGAAGAACCAGAAGCTGATATTGAGTCGCATGTTATGGAGGTGTGGTACGCAGAACTACAGGAGGAAAGGGAACTGGCGGAGGCGACTCCACCAGAGGACCTCTTTACCATGCCTACACATACGGTTCCAGATCAGAGCGCTGATCACTGTAGCTGACGAACGGCGGGGGCACCTGCCGAAGTGGGGGCGCACTCACGACTCCGATGCCGACTAGACGTACTACGCCCCCATGTGCACCATGGTCGAAGACGACAGCTACGGACTCGACTCAGACGAATATGATCGATGCGTTGAACTATGCTGTACGGCAGAAATGTCGAAGGTTGTCTTGTCCGAGCAGCAGCGCATGATATTAGATGCCGACCTAGTGGCCACGATGCGAGTATACGTTGCCGCCGCTGCAAAGCGAGCTGTGGTCGTCAAGGAAGACGACCTTCTCGCTAAAGCTGACATTCAGGCGAGTCCCGATAAAGTATCGAAGGCCCTCTTCGCTGAGCTCAAGACATGGCTCGACAACAAATGCTTCAATATCCAGGAGATAGCCAAAGCGTCGAACATCACGACTTCGAGATACGTGCGCAAATGGAAGTTCGCGCAGAAGAAGAAGGGCGAGAGGGAACGTACCATCCGACTACGCTGGGTCCTCCGAGGGTTCATGGACCTTGAGGCTTTCGGCGTAGAAGCTTTTTTCGGGAACAGCGAGGCGGTCGAGCCAGAGGTTACTCGCTAGCACGGCAGCGTGCAAGATGCAGTGGATCACTGCTTCCCTTGACATCAACATGGCCTTCCTGAGAGGATTGACCGATCAGGAACTTGCTGAGGCTACTGGTGAAAAAGAACGCGTGGTGTGTTTTACTTTGCCGCCTGGATCGGCCACCGCGCTCCGTGCTCCTCCAGGATTCAAGCACTACGACGTGTCAAAGCACTGCCTACAGTGCTTGAAACCGGGCACAGGCACTAAGGGCGCTCCACGGTCTTTCTCACTTAAGCCCAGAAGAACCACCAGCGAATTTGGTCTCCGACCCACGTCCTACGACGAGGACGAGGAGTTCGAGACGAGCAATAACTTGCTCACGGCCAAGCATGTTGATGACTCTGGCATTAATATGACAGGTACTGAGGACACCATTGACACATGTGTCAAATGAGTTGAATATACTTTCGGTAAGTGTAAACTCAACAAGCACACATCTACCAACTGTGCTGTGATATACACCAATGACGAGGACGGCAGTGTTACTTTGGATCAATATGATTATATCAAACAGCTCCGTCCGTTACAACTTCCCGAACTAAACGGCGCCGACGCGGATGCTAAAGCAACCAAGGTGGTGGCAGACATGTTCGTCAGTCTCAGGGGTGCGCTGGCATACGCACTAAGCACCCAGGTGTGGTTCATGGTGTATGCTGTATCCCTACAACGTGTCCAAGAACCGACCAACATTCACGCGCGACGACTGAACGCGATCACCAGAAAGTTACAGGCCTGCCCGAAGGAGATCGTCTACCAGGCGATGAACCCCACGGGTGAGGTCGACTTACATGGCGACTCAGGATATCGACGCCTGAGTGGAGACGCCGATGACGACGTCAAAGGCTATGGTATTCGTGGGGCAAACCTGCTACGACGTGGAAACACGTTATTTGGTAAACCTGTCGTTCACTCGATCGGTGCATACTGCAAGTCTCACCGCTTGCAGGCCTGCTCGGGTTATTCAGCAGAGACACTAGCAGCAACCCATAATTTTGAGGACTGTTATCCCACGACTGTGACTCTGCGCGAGCTCCACGCGGGGCCGCTCACGCCCACTCAGTTGGAAGATATACTTGAGTTGGGTGGCCTGAACATCAAGGCCACTTTGACCATCGATGCCGAGTCCGTTTTAAAGATCTTGTCAAGCACAGACTTGAAGAAGCCGACTGAGTGTACCCTTTTAGGAAACATCAATTAGATCCGACAGATGATGGAGCGTGGAATCGTGCACAGCTTTCAGTGATGTGATACCTGCGATATGACTGCGGATGGCCACGCCCATGATGGTCAATGCTCCGACAAGTCATCGGAGGTATACAGACCTTCAAACATGACCTGAAGAGACATACTCCATATTGGGCCGGTCAGACATCAAGTTTTAACGCCCCCTGATCAGTGCGTCATACACATGCGAGGCAATTTGCTAACGGGACCACCTTCCTTTGGGCCCGCTTCCTTTTCTGTCCTTGTGTGGGTTAGCTGCTGTGCCTGCTGTATAGGGGCGACGGGCTCACGCTTCGTCTCCCTCCCCCCCCGACCTGTAGAGCGAGCTGAGGAACGTAAGGCGTGGAAACGAGCGTGCGCCCGCGGCCGCGTCGGCTCAAGCGGCCGGCCGCCCAATTTTTTTGTGCCTCATTGCGAAGCACACATCGCTATCGAGACCAAAAGGACCTTCCTATTGCTTGAGATGGCATCTCTTCTCACACCTGGACTATCGTTGCTACGGTACAACAGAGCGGGAGATTGGCTTCGCCTGAGGCGAAGCTGTTGGCTGGGCCGTCCAGCCCCTTTCGCACCCTCTTAGGATCCTTTTGGGGCTCTTTCGGAGCCTTCTTTTGGCTAGTTTGGAGGGTCTTCGGGTCCTCTAGGGCTCTTTTAGAGGGTCTTAGACCCTCTTGGGGCTCTCTTGGAGGCCTTTTGGGAGCCTTGGAGGGCCTCTGCTACTATAGCTTCCGAAGATATCTCCGAGCAGCCCCAAGAAGGCCACAATATGGCCGCAAGTGTCCTCTGAGCACCCCCCAGGACCCCTCCAAGAGGTCACTCTTTCAAACACCTAAGGAATCAATGATGCTTGCCGTACCGTCTTGTACTGCTGCCGATGTGCTTTGGAGACCTCAGGGTGCCCCCCCACAAGATTCCAAGAAAACCCCGAGCGCCCAAAACCACCCCAAGAGGGCCTCACGACGCAACCTTCGGCTATCCTTAGCCGTCTTGAAACCCGCCCTGGAGCATCGGAGGCCCTCTTGGAACCATCTTGGCCAAAGACGGAGTATCTTACTCATCGCGCCCCCCCGCCGACGTTCAACCCCACTGGGAAGGGGGAAGGGGGAGAGGGGTCCCCCCCTTTCCGAAGAGGAGAACATGTTTGGGAAGGAGAAAGAGTTTCTGGATACCCAGATCCCAATCTATTTTGGGCGTCGTCTTCCTACTTCACGGGTCGAAATGTCTTTCCTTTCCTCTCCTCTTCAGGGGGCGGGCGCAAACCCAATCTACTTTAAACGCCTTCTACAGGTTTCTACCCATTTCTTCCGACTGACGGGTACCCTCAGACCACCTGCGCCCACAGGGCTGGCGGGGCTCTTCCTGGGAAAATGGGCAATGATAGGTGCTGGCCTTCGACTCGAGCTCCTTTGCAGTCTGTGCCCGTGGCCACTCCGGTTCTGAACCCTTCGTTCCCTGCGCATCTCGTGCTTTCCCCCGCAAGCCTGCCCTCGACGTCTCCTCCCTGCCCTGGATTCCCCGCCAGCCAGCAGGACCCGAGCGCCCTCCTGCTGGACGCGCTGAGGGCACTGTGCGGCACGGGGCCGGGCCAGGCGGGGGTGGTGCAGGCCATGGCCTTCGGCAACTACGACGCCACCTCGGGCACGGGCTGGGCGCTGCTGCGTGCCCGCCGCGCGAGCGGCGAGGGCCTCCGCGGCGGGTGGCGGCCGCGCGTGGGCTCCTACGCCGTGGCCGCCGGGCCAGACGGCGGCCCGCTGGGGGCTGCGGTGGAGGGCGAGCTCAGCCGTCGGGCGGAAGGCGATCGCGGACCACTGCCAGCTCAGGCCTGCCGTTTTTGGGTGGGCGTGCCGGCTTCACAGCAGTCAGCATGTCTGGAAGGTGCGGCACCCTGCATGCCTCATCTTATGCGTCATGTGAGTTTGGTGCAGCAGGTGGTTCCCTTGCCCGATCGTAGCACCATCGACCTGCATCGGAGGACTGGCCTGGGGTGCCCTGGCCGTGATGTGGTACCACGGATCTTCCATTGAAGGTTGGTCCGGGACCAGGTGAGCAACACGGGTCTTCTGGCCCGAAGGTGGGTGCCCGTCTGGCGAAACCACTCGGGGCCAGAGGGATATCACAGGGCTCTGAGCCCCGACCTCGCCACTTTTGGGGGGGCTGCTAACTGCAAAACGGTCGTCACGTTCGAGGGCAGTCGGAAGGTCCAGCGGACTGACGCCTTACACATATTCAGATTTGACCTCGCCATCCGTGGCGGGCTGCGAACTGCAAGACTGTCGCCGCTTTCGAGGGCTGCTGGGGGGGTCCAGCGAAGTGACGTTTTACGCAGACTCAGATTATTTGACCTTGTCATGTTTCGGTGGGCTGCGAACTGCGAGAGCGTCGCCACTTTCAACGGCTACTGGGGGGTCCAGCGGGATGACGTCTTACGCAGACTTAGATTTTGACCTCGCCATCCCTGGGGCGCTGCGAACTGCAAAACTGTTGCCACGTTCAACGGCTGCCGGGGGGGTCCAGCGGAGTGACGTCATACGCCGACTTGGATGATCTCGCCATATCTGGGGAACTGCGAACTGCGACCCTGTCGCCACATTCGAGGGCTTCTGGGAGGCTCAGCGGAATGACGTCTTACACAGACTCAGGTTATACGTCGCCATCCCTGGGGGGCTGCGAGCTGCGGACATGTCGCCAGGTTCAAGGGTTGCTGGGGGGCCCAGCGGAGTGACGTCATACGCCGACTTTGATGAACTCGCCATCCCTGGGGAACTGCGAATTGCGAACCTGTCGCCACTTTCGAGGGCTGCTGGGGGGCTCAGCGGAATGTCGTCTTACGCGGACTCAGATTTTGACCTCGCCATCCCTGGGGCGCTGCGAACTGCGAAGATGTCGCCACTTTCGAGGGCTGCTCGGGGGCTCAGCGGAATGTCGTCTTAGGCGGACTCAGATTTTGACTTCGCCATCCCTGGGGCGCTGCGAACTGCGAGGCTGTCGCCACGGTCGGGGGCTGCTCGGGGGTCCAGCGGGGTGACGTCTTACCGCCGACTCAGATCTCCAGCCGGACGGCACCCCGATCCCACAGAAAAGAAACATTGTGTATTTAGGTAGTTTGATTGATGAGGATGGCAACATAGGTTCAGATCTGTCACGCCGTGTAGGAGCTGCAGGGACAGAATTTGACAAATTAGCCAGGGTATCGAGCCATTCCACTCTCACGCAACATAATAAGATTCAGATTTTTGATTATTGCGTTTTAAGTCAGCTGTTGTACTGTCTGCACACTTCGTATCTTAACAAGCACGAGCTGTGTCGTTTGGACGCGTTCCAGGCGCAATGTCTGCGCAAGTTGTTGCGCATTCCCCATGTATACATCAGCAGAGTCTCGAACGACACCGTGCTTCAACGGGCCGGCGCCCGCCCACTTAGCAGCACGCTCCTCTGTAGACAGCTTCTTTGCCAGGTAACGACGCTGTGCGTTGCGCAGTGTTCCAGCCCTTTTCCTCCCTCCTCCTCCCCCCTCCCACCCTGAGAAAGAGGGGGCGACCACGAGCAACGTGGTCCCAGGAAGTTTACAGGCACGCCTGCGAAGCAGCTGGGGGTGTGGAGGCCCTTCCAGCGTTTTGGCAGGACACCATTCCTTCGGCCACGGCGTGGCGTGTCGCAGTCAGCAAGTATTGCGATGCCACGTGATAGTGGCTATGTGCTCATGTGCGTTTCGTACTCAGCATTTGCTTGCTTGCTTGCTTGCTTGCTTGCTTGCTTGCCTTGCAAACCTGTCGCCGATTTCGAGGTCTGCTGGGGGGTCCAGCGGAGTGACGTCGTACATTCAGATTGGACTTCGCCATCCTTGGGTGGTCCGCGAGCTGCGAAATTGACGCCAATTTCAAGGGCTGCTGGGGTGTCTAGCGGATTCGAGCTCGCCATTTCTGCGGGTGTGCTAATTGCAAAGCGGTCGTCATGTTCGAGGCTGCTGGAGGTTCCACTGCAGTAACCGTTTTACGCAGATTCAGATTTGACCTCGCCATCCGCGGAGTG